TGGAGCTGCTGACACCCAGCCCAAGGCTGTGGTGGGGTCACCTGTGCTGGTGAGCTCAGGGCTCTCCTCTGGTACCTTGGCTCTGTGCTGGAAAGTGCTCTCTGCTCGGGAGTCCTGATGGTCAAGGCAGGACAAAGCCTGGGCTCCTGCAGAGGTTTTCTGACAGGTGTGTTCATGAGGGCAGTGCCAAACCATGGCAGATGCCAGGAGCCACTGGTCTCCTTCTGCCCAGAGTGTTTTGACAGCAACGTGTCTGGTTTGGAGAGCCTGTTTGTGCAGGTGTTGCTTTCCTTCTGTTCAGTGACCAGACTGTTCTTCTATCACACCCATCAAAATAACATCTCAGCACTTCTGAGGAGTACATGAGGTGATGTGGTTGCTATCCCATGTAGATTGCTTGTTCTCACAGCCTCTGCAGTGGGAAGAGTACATATTTTAAAGTGCTTGCTTTGTACTTTAATACCCACGTAGGCTAAGGAGGGCAGGATTGGGGACAGAGAAGCTTGAGGTTATGTGGTTGCTCCTGAGTGGTTTCTTCCCACAGTCCAGAGGGACCCAGGAAAGTCCCAGCTCCTACACAGGGGTGCTCTGCCCTTGTTTTTGGGGCTGCTCTGTCCCAAGGAGCTCAGCTGTGGCTGCCCTGCCTCACGTCATCCTGCCTAACATTTGCTTTTCTCAACGTGTGAAAGAGAAACAAACAGCTTGAGCAGTGGGAGATGGTGCAGACATGGGCAGGTGCTTCTGGGGCTGCCAGTTAGCCACTTTCAGGTGATGCCACTTGGAGTGAAAACAGTCCTTCAGCAGACTCCTGCTGCTGCGATGAAGGAGGAAGAGGAGGCTGGGCAGAGAGGAGGGGGTTTGGAAGAACTCTCAGTAAAGGAAGGGCCAACTTGGCAGTGGCCAAGCAAGTCATTCCCAGCTGGGCAGCTTCCCAATAGCCACCAAAGCTTCTGTGCTGCCCTTTTCCCTTGCCTCCCTGGGAAGGGAGCCTGGAGAGGAGGCAGCATTCCTGTTTCTCCTCAGTGGCATTTTGCAGAGCAGAATGGATAGTCCTTCAGCCCTGAAGAAGAGCCCTTTGAGCTGTTTCCAGAGGACCCAATCTCTTTGTGGCAGCAGATGTAGGATTGATTGAAGAAGTCCATTTGCTTGGTGGTGTTAGCTGTGGAAAGCTTGATAGAAATGTTCTAACGCACTTTTCAATTCCAAAGATGTGGTAAGATTTATGCAATTTATGCTGCCTAATGCAGGAGCCATAGGAGAGTCTTGGCGCAAGGTGTTCCCAGGCAGGTCCATGGTGGTGCCTCCAGCCATGCTCTCACCAGGACTTTGACTTAGAGATTAAATATCTCTGCAGTGCAGAACAGACCCAGGGCTGGCTTCAGCTTCTGCTGCATTATTCATGAGTATGTGGAAGCTCTGAAAAATGTGGCAAACTTTGGATTAGGTTCTCAACACAGCATTGCTTCTCAAGAGATGAAATGTGAGCATGTCCCTGTGAGGCAGGAATGCACAGGCTGGAAGCTGTGGGAGGATGGCATTTATAAAGGGAAAGTGAAGTCTTTGCTGTTCTGCTGCTGGTGGGTTTGGTTTCCTTTCCTCCCAAGAGGATCACTTCTGTGATCTGCAAGCACTCACAGCCATGGCAGCACGGTTCAGAGCACTGTGAAAACATTGGAATTGCTTTTGCATGGGGTTTTGCACAGCCAGGCTTTGTTGGGAGTGCAGAGGATCAGGAGCCCCTCCAGACCCTCTGGAGAGGTTACGCTGGCAGCACAGAGTCTCCTTTTTGCCAAAGTGAGCGCTCAACAAAGAAGTCAAGTGAAGATGCAGCTCACATTCCCTTTTTCTGCCCTGTGCTCAGCCACTCAGGTAGTGATGTGCAGGGACTCAGCACCACTCCTAAATCTCTAAAGCATTTTGGCCTTGTCACTGAGGGTGGCTGTGGGACCCTCAGGCTGGGAGGAGGAGTGAGGGGGAAGGCAGGGATGCTCAGAGACCCCAGGGGTTATGTGTGTCACAGGGAAGACAGCCTGGCAGGGCCCCAATTTCTCTTCCATACTGATGAAGCTCTGCACTTTCCTAGTGGGAAAGGGTTTGGTCCTGTTGTCTGAGAAATAAGTGAGAGTTTTCCTCTTGGTTTGCATGAGAGCAGGTCTGGGAGTGAAGTTTCCATAAAGGGGACTGTTGTGCCTGTGGATGTTCTGTCCACCTGGGTTTATGTTGCTATAAAAGGCAAGGTTGTACTGAAGGCATGTGAGGGTCTTGAGGCTTGGGTCCAGGCTTCCCCACATCCCTGTGTGCTCAGCAACTGATCTCTGTGTTTTAATTCTCCATTCACAAATACATGCCTGGAACATCACTTTGGCAGGGGACAAAGCCCAGCTCTGCTGCTGTCCCAGCCCTGCATGTGCAGCACCCAGCAAACAGGTCTGTCTGGCCATGCCTGAGCCCAGCAATCTGGTGTGGGTGCTGGTGCTGGCTGTTTTCAGCCTGCATTGAGCTGTCTGTGCCTCCAGACCTGTCTGTGCCTCGGGCATGCAGTCCCAGCTGGGAATGGGGGTGCAGCCTGGAAGGTGCTGGGGGATCCATCCCTGGGCTGTCCTCTGGCAGTGCAGGGTCACAGCCACTGGTGCCTGCTCAGGTGTGAGAGCAGCACCTGTCTGGGCTCTGCTGCTGTGTCTGAGCCTGTGTGAGTGAGGGCAGCTTCCACCAGCAGCTGCCAAGGACAGAATTCACAGAACCACAGAATGACCAGGCTGGGAGAGACCCTCATGATCATCGAGTCCAACCTAGCCCCAACACCTCAACTCAACCCTGGCACCCGGTGCCACATCCAGGCTTTGTTAAACACACCCAGGGGTGGTGACCCCACCACCTCCCTGGGCAGCCATTCCAGAGCTTTATCACTCTTTCAGTAAAAACTTTCTCCTAACATCCAATCTGTATTTCCCTTGGCACAGCTTGAGACTGTGTCCTGGTTCTGTCAGTGCTGCCTGGAGAAAGAGCCCAAGCCCAGCTGGCCACAGCCACCTTTCAGGAGCTGTGCAGTGATGGGTCACCCCTGATCTCCTTTTCTCCAGGCTGAGCACCCCCAGCTCCCTCAGGGGTTCCTCACAGGGTTTGTGTTCCCAGCCCTTCAGTGCTCTCCACTCTGCAGCTGGCAGGAGGAGCTGCTCCCTTCCTCCTCCTGGGGAGAAGATGGGAGCAGCTGGCAATGCATTTTTGGGTTGCCAGTGGAGAGGTGCTTATGTTGAAGAGCAAAGTGTTATTGCTCTTGTACAGTCCTGGCTTTGGTGAAACCAGATGGATTTGAAGTAAATATGGAGTTCCTTTGTCAAATGTAATTAGAAGCTGAAATTCATGTGTCTTTCTGAAGAAAGGTGTTTTTTTTTTACTGAACACTAGTGACTCGCAATGGATTCCCACATTTCTGGTTGGATAGAGGACAAGGAGATGATATAAAAAGTCACCCTTGGTTTGAAATGAAGGCAATGAAAAATGAGTGTCTTGTACTCAAAGTGTTGCTGGAGATTGTTGGCCAAGTATTGCAGTCTCGCTGTCCTATTTTTAAACTCTCTCACCAGCTGTAATGTGACCCTTCCCTCCACACCCACAACAGAAAAAAAAGCCCTTACTGATTAGAAACAGGAAATAATAAAACTCACTAACCACAAAGTATTTTCAAAGACACAAAATAAGCAAGCAGAGATAGTGGGAAATAGATATTTCCTGCTGATCTCCTTTCAGCAGAATAACCATACCTAATAATTACAGTCACTGGGGATTTGCAGCTTTTAGAGGGAATGTATGTTTTTAAGATGATGCTGTCAAACTGCAGTAAAATATTTTCATCAGTCCCTCCCAGCATAGCAACAAGGTGGCCACAAGTCCATGAGATGCATTGCTGGCACCTTCTAAAAGTGCAAAAGCACTTCAGGTCCGGCCTGGGGGAGGAGCTGCTCTCTTGCTGGTCACCCTGCTGTGCAGTGGAGGCTCCCGTGGGTGCAGCTCTGGGGGCTCTCATGGGGTGGGGTTTTTATCTCAACTCAGCTGTATTTGTGACAGCAAACTGGGGGGATTTAATGCCTTTTCTCTGCCAGGATTCTGCAGTTTTCTTTGCCTGATTGGCTTCTCTACCCATGAGTGTTCTGTGAGCTTTGCTGCTGCGGTTTGCTTGGGGTGGCCCCACCTCCCACTCTCCTCTGCACCTTTGCCGTGGGATGAGGATGATGATGATGATGATGATGTGTATTTTTCACATTGGTGGTCACTCCAAAGGGCCCCATCAGGAAATGGGGCAGTCTTCATTTTCAGGCAGAGGGTGGGAACTCAGGTTGAGGTTTGTGCAATTCTGTGTCTTTAGCTGCCCCCCGACCCGCCTTGCCTCTTTGCAGCCAGGTGTAGCCCCGTTGTTTCTCCTGCCACTGCTCCTAATGAGAGGGCTGGATAAAAGGGAAGGCGTCACAGAAAAAGATGCTAAACCTGGAGGTGCTGGTTTTCACTCCTTCAGCGCCTCATCCAATAGATCTCGCTGCATAATGAGCCCCTCGAACTGCAGGGCCGTTCATTAGTATGCGCCGTGTTTGTTTAAGAGCTCCCCGCTCTTTTCTTTCTGCTGGGAGCACTTCTAACTGCCTTGGAGATGAAAAACGGGCACCAAATGCTGCCAGCAAGCGGGCAGATCTGTCCTAATCTCCTCGGTCCAATTCGCAGGGAATTTTACCTTCTGCCCTCTAGATGAGCTCTGTGATTCAGGTATAAGTAAAAGCTAATGCATTTAAAAATGTAAATCTGAAAGTAAAAGCGAAATCAGATCCAGGCGGATAAACCCAGCTCCCTATTTCCTTCATAACTTCTGAAGTGTTCCTGTGATCCGGGCAATGCTGTCTGTGTGCGTGGTGAACGCTGCTTTCCTACAAAGTATCAGGGGCAACCCCCAGACCAGCTGTTTCAACTGCATGGGGGAAAAGCTGTTTGTGAAAGAAGCAAATAAAAGCAGATGCTCAAACACCCTTTATTCAGAGCACATGGGACAAGGCTGGGAGAAATGTCAGTCATTATCTTTAAAAAGTTTATTTAGAACTTTTAGTTATGGAAACAAAAAAGTTTCCCTAAATATAACCCTATGTAACATATATATATATATATATACACACATATGTACTCACAAGCTTAAGAGCAATGTCAGGCTGGGAACAGCACAGCCAGAGCGAGCAACCCAGAGAGCATTTCTAAACAGCCTAAAAAGTCCAGACCAAGTCTCTCCCTTTCTCTCTCTCTTTTTTTTTTCCCTCCTAAACATTGCAGCACTTTTACAGGACTCAACACTGGAATCTCCTACACTGCGCAGGGATAATAATAAAAATAAAAAGCGTAAAAGACCAGTCGCTTACCCTTTTATCCAATAAAGGGATCTCAATGGCTTATGTGAGCTATTAAGGTAAATTTGATGCCAGAGAGGGTCGTTGCTTGTTGTCTTGTAGTTTTATTAATAGAAAGTTAATTATTTTAGAATGTAGGACAAGAAAACTATGTAATTATTATACACTAAAGAGCACGAGAGTATTCTAGACAATAATTTAGATGTATTAAATAAATAAAAAATAATAGCAGCCTTCTACAATGCAGGCTACACGTAGGTTTACTTCGGCTTGAAGTACCCAGGTCTTTAGTACACCTACAGGAACAGATTTGCTCCACAAGTGTTTTAAAGAAACATATCTATAAGATACATACGTAAGAATGTCTAAGGTTAGGACAAAAATCGAAAACACACTTTACCACGGTCTCCACATATCTAATGACCCCATTCTGGGGTTGTTATGGGAAAAATTTGGCTGCAGAACCTGTCTGGGAGGTGCGGCATCAACCTGGTTGAAAAGCGACAGCGCGGGCAGCTGGAAGGAATTTTTGGAAGCGTGCTTGTTCTCCGCGGGGTAGGGGCGCTCCTGCGGCGGGTTCGTGCCTCGAGCGCTGCCCTTGGGGCTCAGGGGACTTCTGTGCGCCAGGAGAGGCTGCGGAGAGACAGCCGAGCTGCCCGGAGACCTGAGCGCGGCTCTGCAGGGCTCCTGCCCCGACCTGGGCAGGGACTTGAGCAGGTGGTTCAGGAGGCGCGCCCCGAGGCTCTTGTCCATCCACTCGCAGGTGAGCAGCAGGTTGTGCACCTCGTGCATGCACTGGATGTAGCCGGTGCTGTACCTCTGCTGGGCTTCCAGACCCACCTTGGAGTCGGCTGTGCGGGACAGGAGACAGGGGAGGCCGGTCAGCGGGGCAGAGCCACGCGTGGCACCGCCGGGGCCGCGGCGCTTGGGAGAGGCTTTGTTTGCGGGAGGAAGGCGAGCGGGTGTGAGAACTGCGCCCAAAGGCAGGAATCGGCTCTGGGAGGGAAAAACGCCTTCCGTGGACGAAGCGGTGCCCGGCTCCATCTCCCCATCTAGCGGAGAAAGCCAAAGCCCGGCGGCAGCTCCGAAAGGCGCTTGTGCCGGGCTGCCGAGGATCCAACCCGCTGGCCCCGGGTAAGGGAGCGGGCACAGGGCAAGGGAGCGGGCACTCACCCATCATCTTGCTGCTCTGGATGTTCTGGAGGTGCTTCACTGTCATTTCCAGGATGTCTGCTTTTTCCAGTTTAGACTGCTGATAGGGAAGAACGCAGCAGTCAGAGGCAAAGAAGGGTTTGCACCATGCCCAGTTGCTCTAAAGATGAGGCATTTCCCTCTCTCCCCCTCCCCAATTTCCCACCAGCAGAAGGACCAAAAGCAGCATAAAGTGAGCACTTACATCCAGGTGAAATGCACCCACAACAGTCTCCTTCAGCTGGTCTAGGCAGTTATTAATCCTTTCCCTTCGCTTCCGCTCAATGAGGGGTTTCCTTAACTGGCAAAGAAAAGGAGCAGGGAAAACTGCAGTTGGTATTTTCATTTCCTCTCCCTGCTGCAGTTCAGCAATGCCAAAGACCCCTCTCCTGTGTGCAGCCAGCACAGGGTGACACAGTGCTCAGCAGGGACAAGATGTGAATGGAGCGTGTGCCAGCTCCAGCCACGGCCTGTCCCTGAGGTGCATCACCTCTCCTTTCTCCCACTTCCAATCACTTCAAGCACAAAAACTCATTTCACCCGATCAAATGAGAGAGAAGGCAGAGAAAGGAGGCAGGAAAACACCCGCGTGAGTTAAATTCAGAGAAAACATCTTTCTAACGGGAGAAAAAGCTCTGTCCCCTTCCTGTGTCCTGGAAGCAGTGGCCCGGCTTCACACGCCCAGCTCAGGGGACACTCACCTTCCTCTCCTCCTTGCTGCTGGCGACCTTGTGCGTGCCGGAGGTGGCCGTGGCAGTCATCCTGGTCCAGGCGGCCGGCCCGGCTCCGGCAGGACGGGACGGGAGGGAATGAGGCGCTCGGCAGCGGCTCGCTGCCCTTCCAGATGGGCTCTTGCTGCTCCGCTGCTCCTCGGCTGTATTTATAACCCCGAATTAGCATCTGAAAGGCAACTTTCCTTGGCGGGACTTCTTTTCCCACACGAGGGGTCGAGCCCGGAGGTTTGCGGCCATCAATCAAAGCTGACAGGTCACTGCTTCTTTTCAATGGCCACGCCGGCCCCCCCAAACGGCGACAGATGTCCAGCCTCCGCCGCTGCCTTTGGGGGATCCTTTGTTCGCCCAGGAGGGAAGGAAAATGGGCGCGCTCGGAGCAGCTTGCACGGTCCTCGTTCCGTTCGCGCAGATTCCCAGGGAGGGACACAATAGCCGGGAAGCGGCTGAATTACACCTGGGAAAATGCCTTCTACTCATCTTTTTCTCCTCTATCTCCTTGAAGCGATGCCTATTTTTACCTGCTAACCTGACCCCAGTCGTTTCACATCATTGTAACGGCCTCTTAATTTAATAATAGAGCACTTCAGCTAGGAGTTCCTGCTCCCAGGGATTATTATTACAAGGAAATGACGATCGATTAAAAACTGTTGACAGCAGATACCCAAAGGAAGGTTGTTTCCATACAGAAATACTCTAGGTAAAACACGGGAACTTTATTTACCTCCTGGGAACCTGAATTATCTGTTGCACCTGGGTGGATTGTAGGTAATATGTAACTCTTCTAGTTTTTGGCTGCTCTGCAGTATTTAATATTAAATTTACAGGGTATTGAAGGTGCTAACAATCCTAGACCTGAGTTAGTCCTGTGGAAGCTTTACTTCTTTGGGTTGTTTTCCCCCATGCTGTGAGGCTTGGGTAGCTTTGTGAGGAAAGGGGTTTGTCTCTTGCTGCTCTGGAATGCTGGGGCAGGGGATGAGGGGCCTTTTGAGGAGGCTTGTGTGGTGTGAGAATGCACTTTTATACTTCCTCACTTCTGCCTGGCTTGGGGGAGAGTAAGAAGGCGTTTTTCATTACCTTGCATTTGCTTTCTGAAGCTGCTTTGCTAATGAGCAGGATCTGGTAGTGTCCTGTTGAGTCCCACAGGTGAAGCCCTTTGGAATGGTGTCGAATATATCACCTTATTGAAGTGGAGAGGAAGCAGCTGCAGCAGTTCAGAAGCACTGCAAGCCCTCCCAATGCACTGGGAGGATTTCCCAGCTCTCAGGAAAAAGAAATATTTGTATTCAAATAAATGTATACAAATATTCAAATATTTGTATTCAAATAAATGAAAAATAACAGCAGCATTCTACAATGCAGGCTACACATAGGTTTACTTTTATAGGTCTTTAGTACACCTGCAGGAACAGATTCGCACCACAAGTGTTTTAAAGAAACATATCTGTAAGACAGATGGTGCCGTGGCTGCAGAGCCCTCCAGCTCTGGGTGGGGACATTCCCCAGTGATAGCAGCGAGGACATCACGTTGTTCCTTGCCCAAGCACGGTGTGGGTGTGAGTGTGTTTGCTTGTGTGTCAATGCAAACATACCTGCAGCACGTCTTCATGCCCTGCTGCCTGGGCTCATCACCAAAACATGTCCCCAGCCATGGGAGCTGGCAGGCCGAGGCTGTTTGTCAGTCACATGCAGAGCTGGATGCAGTTCCTTGGTTTTATAAGTGCCCTACTTTGGCAACGGCCTGGGATGAGCTGGGGTGGTGGTTGTGCTGGGGGAGGAGGGTTGGGAGGGGAAGGTTCGTACCTTATCCTTTGTGCCAGGTAAGGGGGTGGAGTTCTTATTGCTGGTGTGTTGTCTTCAGAGACAGCAAAAGGAGATCCCACCACCCTGTGCAGCAGGCCCTCACATCAGCCTCACCTGTGAAGACTCCTTTGATTTTCCAAGCTTTTTCCAGTCCAAGGAAACGGATTGTTGCTGATATTTATAAAAGGTGTAGCTGAGGGCACGTTGTTCCAGCAGCTCGGCCTGGAGGAGGCAGGGCTGGGCCAGGGGGCACAGAGCACACTCTGTGTTTTGTGCCGAAGCTGGCAGTGCCTGCCCATCTCCCTCCACCTTGTGCAGAGAGCAGCACCTTCCCAAGGCACTCAGGGCAGCAGGGAGGAGCTGAGATCACCTCAGCTCCTGGCCCACCTGAGCACAGCAGGGGTGTCAGCAAATCCAGAATTACCTAAAAGCTCTGAAAAGCGTGTCCCGTGCCTGCTGGCACTGCTGCAGGGTGCAGCGGGTGCCCCCGTGTTGGAGCCCCCGGTGCCACCAGGAAAGATCTCTCCGTGTCTGGGATGGCAGCACCTCCCTCCTCACCCTCTCTCCCTTCCTTGGCCTCCGCTCTGGCTGCTCCTCGCCCTCCCTCCTGCCTCTTTGTCCTGCGGGCTGCCCCGGGCTCCGGGGCTGTTCCAGGGGCCGCCGAGCGCGGCGTGGCAAGGGGGACACCGAGGGGAGGGGAGGCCACGGGCAGCGGGGTGGCCGCGGGGCCCGGCCCCAGCCCGTGCCCAGCCGAGCCCCTTGGCTCGCCCACGGGCATCTGCCGCGGGCGAGCTCATTTCAAGGTTCATTTGTAAGACAGCGCCGCAGTGAAAAAGAAGAGCAGCTTTGGCTCTAAACAGTTATTTTACACCTCTCAGTCACGGCAAAAGCCTTTATTTCGGAGGCGGGGATGCGGGCGGGAGAGCTGCCCTGGCTTTGGGCATGGCTGACATCTGTGCCGTGGATTGCGGGGACCAACATCCCCATGCAAATGAGCATTACAGGAGCTTTCTGCGAATTCCCGCTTTCCTTTTGCCAGGTTTCACTGAAAAGGGGATTCTCCTTTGTAAACAAAGCCTCCTTTTTTTCCTGGGCTTTCCAA